CAGGATCGAGTTGCAGGAGCGGGTTGCAGGAGTGGGTTGTCGGCTCAGGACAGTGTCCAGCGTCTCTTGTCTCTCCAAGGGCATTTAAGCCTGATTCATGCTTCTCCGTCAGCTCCACAAGGGACAGACACGCATGGATTGATGGAAGCGTTTTGCTTTCATACTTCTCCGTCTCCTGGAGAGTGTTGCAAAGCAATTCCCCGGCAGGACAACAGAGGGCGTAGCGCTGTTCTGTGGTATCCTGTCATGTATCGGTCCAAGATAGTGTATTTATATTGTGTTTTTTTGTATATAAGAGACTTTTTAACACAGACAAATTTGTCTCTCATCCTCCTCCACCTCTTCATGCGCTCGCCACCTCTAAACCCACGTTTCCTGACCAATCAGCGGTGTCCTGACCAATCACAAGCTTGCGTTGTCTGTCTCGACTGACGGATGTTTAGAAAAGAGAGCTCGACTCCGTCCGTCCTTGCGGAGCTCTCCAGCAGGCCCGCAAGGACGTTGCGTGTCTCCGCACTGACGCAGACGGAGAAACATGAATCAGGTTTAAGGCTCCTTGTGTGGGAAAATGGTCGGTAAAGCATTTAGTTTCCACCTTCTCTTATACCCAGCCGCTCCGGTGAGCTCTTTAAGTAGTTGTGGTCCACTTTAAGCCTCAAACGCATCAGGAGATAAAAGTTGGGAACACAGCAGCGGATCTTTGGGAAGTTGTGTCCCTCCACAGGCATCTTCCCACTGCCTTCTCCTCTTCTTGCCAGTGGGAAAGCTGTGTAAACTCACATCACTCCCCTTGTTGCCCTCTGACTGGAAATTACATCCAAAAGCAGCACAATGCTGCATTTTGCTTCATTATTAATACGGTGAGCGCCTAAACAAACACTAGCGTCAATAGCTATTCTTCCGGGAGCAACCAATATAAGTCATCGCCCCCAGAGTGCATTGTGTGCGGAAAACATGGTATCCTATGTCAAAAAATGTACTAAATATTATAGATTTATAAATAAACAGCAATATTTTGTGTGTTTCTAACTTGTGGCTTCTTAGGGCACACACGTCCTCATAGCTGGAGTTCCTTTTAAGCTAAGGTTAATTAGGCACGGTTCACACTGTAGGGTTTAAAAATTGTGGAAAGATTTTTCAAACATCAGAGATCGGACACGCCACGGTGAAAATAAAAGCTTTGGTCCCGATGTTGTTCGGCCACATGGCAAAAGCTCAAACTTTGTCAGGTCAGGTGGGAAATCTCACAAAACCTCCTGACATTAAACGTGACTTAGCAGTAAACCAGAATGATGGACCGTGCAGGCTGCTTCTGATTGGCCATCACATTCAACAGGCAGCACACTCTAACAGTTGTGTGTCATTTTGACGGATTGCAGATCTGCAGGCATTTTAAACATTCTCTGAACATTGCAGAGGCAATAACATCAAACAAGAAAAGATTCCCATGTGATGTCTGATGGAGCGTTATCTCATACTGGGACACTATTCTCAATACTGGGGCAAAAATCCAAAACTTTGTGACTACTGACGCTTTGAACCTAAGTCACCTAATCACATGGGTCCACCATACTGGAGGACAAAAGCTTGTAAACAATTAGTGACACAAGTACTAAACAAAAGGAAAAGTTGTGCCTGAGATTTTTTGTTGTGTTGTTGTTCTTTTCTTTATTGTGACATTTAGCATGACTTCAACTAGTTCAAGCCCAGTTCAGTTATCAGAAGCAGCTCACCTACGTGGGGCAAAAGTGAATTATGGAAGTATTGAACGGAGAGGAAACATGGCGACAGTTCATATTTTTTTGCCAGTTTAGACTGGTTTCTACTGGTTCAAGCCCAGTTCACTTGTGGGAAGTTTTAGGTGGAGGTAGAAAGGTGACATAGTACGTTCTGGCCACAGGTTTAAATGTTCCTACTTGTAGTGGAATCGTTAAATTGCATTGTTTATATCTTACTGGGACACTAAATGTTAATGTAAAATGAAAATAGGAAAATTCATGGTATTGAATGTTTAATAATTATTATTCCAAAAATATAAGTGACAGGAAGAAAGTCAATCATGATGGTTTTCTTAACCCTATTGGTGAGACTGACGGACAAAAAAATGTCTAGTGCAACCTCTGATATATAAATATATTGATTATATGTGTATGTATATATATATATATATATATATATATAGACTCAGTTTAGAGTTTTTTATGCTTTCCACTAGATTGCACATTTTTCTTATGTCTACTGGGGAAATAACCAACACTAAATTGAAATAAAAAAAACTTCAATGAAAATATTTTTATGACCATTTATGACACGCCAATGTGTTGAAAATTTGCCCATAAAACAAATCATCTGGACATAACACATAATTTTTTTATATTTTTTAGCTTGTTTACATTTGTGGTTATGATCATGCACCTGACAATAAAGGGGGGAATTAAATGGATTAAATCTCAGGAACGACAAATATTGTATTATATTTTGTGAGGACTTAAGCCAAAGGACAAAATTCATGTAAAAAAATTTGGGAGTCATGAAACATTATATGAGGAGGTATTGTGTCTGCATTTTTTGCGCACCAAAGTTAAAATCGTGACTTTTTTTTAGAAAATATGAAATTACAGCAAAATTATTAAGTGAGCAAAAAATATTTTTATGCCTTTTAGTGACACTTCAAGGCTGTGACAGTGTAACTCCAAAAAATGTATCTGAACATAAAAAAAAGAATAGATTCTGAATATATTTTTTATTTCATATTTTCACAATTCTAGTATTGATCATAAACCTGGCAATAAAGGAGTTAAACCACAGAAACACACACATTGTTTATTATCTTTTGTTGGGGCTGAAGATAAGGATGAAATTCATGTTAAAAATTTGGGACATATGAAATATTGTATAATATTTCTATAGGAAGCTTTGTATGTGAATTTTTTGTGCTCAAACACCAAAAATTTTAGAAAATTAAAGGTAATATAAGAGTTACCAAGGAGATGGTACATATCTAAGGCCTTGTTCTTGTCACAAAATACTGTAGCTTCTCCTCTTCACTGCAATAGCAAGTGGTTGTAAGCATTCAAGATTGTTTTGATTTGATTACTTTCCAAACCTTGGTAGCCTGAAGAGCTGTCAGCTGTTCTGAACGACAGCAGCAAACGACTCAAACAACATCTAAAAAAACGGCCTCATGCCGCTCCTCGGAAGTAATTTGAGGGATTTTTGTAATAAGGGCTCCTGACCCTTGGCTTCTTCAAACCTTTACCATGTTATGCTCAACAAAAATGTCTGATTTCTGTCCTCATTGCTAAATAATAACTATAAAATGATAACTGAGCATGTTTTTGTGTTGCAATATAAAGAAATAAACATTCATTTTATAAAAGAAGCAAAACATCAAGTTTGGGAATGTGTAGATCTTATTTTTTACCATTCTTTTTTCTTTCAGACAAGTGAAACCCTCGAAAATCACCAGATGAAACAAAAATCTATCCCACAGTTAATTGTGACTGAACATATTAATGATGTTCTGTCAGCTTCTGGAAAAGTAATTTTGTGGGTGATGTATTTTTTTTATCATTTTTTTGCTTTACATATTTTTGGTAGCAGGCAGAGAACAGATAATCCTCATTCAACCATATTTCTGCCTAATCTAACAATATTTTCCTGCAGGAGGCTTGGCTCCTTCGAGCACAAGTCAGGGTGACACGGAAAGAGAGCAACATTCACATCCAACAGGTCACGCTGCACCACTCGGGATGAGCTAACAGTAGCGAGCCTCATTTGCTTCAGTGTCAGCTTTGGTGGCAAATGATTTGTGTTTCATTCGAACATTTCTGCAAGAAAAAAGAGAATATGGACAGAACACCACGGCCATGACAAAGACGACTAATAATTATTAATTTTAGAAAATTTTTCATGCTTATTCTGTATTTATTCAACCAAAAATGTAAACATATATAAAAACCTTTGCTCTAGGATTCAGAAATAGGAGGCTGAGATAGGCCATTTGTTTAAAAGTTCTTTAGTCCAGTGGGACTTCGGTGTGAAATTTCTGACCACTTTACTGTAACTCACAAATCCAAACCCAGTCATTTAGCTGGATTCCAGTCGAGACTTGGACAGAACTCTTCCTGAGTCCTCTGAAGTTTTGGAAGCAGACACTTGTGGATTTGCCAGAGAGCTGAGCTGTTATTAAATAAGAGCCCAAACCCATTTATCCTCACAGGAACATTTTACAGAACACACAACGGACCACAAAGATGACATAAAACACCAGCAGAATTTGTTCAGTGGCCTAACTTTTTCTGGCCAGAGAAGCAGGCTTTGTGATGACTATAAATAGCTGCCAACATGAACACAATACCCTGCACTACAAGATGAACTGCAGCATATCTTTACATAAAAAAGGTACAGACACAAGTTACTGGCCTCTCTCTTAATTTTCTAATTATTTTCAGAAATAAAAACTGTTTTATTTCCTGGCAGTAAGGGACTAATAAAAAAATTAAGTAAAAACAAAACAACGGAGCCACTAAAAGTGTTAAAACGAGTAAACAGAGGTTAGGTCTAGAGTCCTTTAGAGGTTTTTAAATGATCTTTAGAGAAAGTGAATGTGGACTTTGAGTTTAGTGTTTGACTAAACTTCAGTTCAGACTATCTCCTCTCAGAGTAGATCAGGTGGGATAGTTTTCATGAAATGCCGTGTGGAACATGTTTTAACTCTAGTGTAAGAAAAAGGTAAAAAAACACGACTTTTACAAAGAAAATGAAATCTGCCTTCATTGATTCTTTGTGTTTGGCTATTGGTTTAGGATCAAACACTTGGTTTCAGGTTCTGTGAGTCTCAACTCTTCAATGGACTTTCTCAGTATGTAACTACAGTCCTGAAAATAAGTCATAGAACTCTAATGATTTTGCTAATCTACAGAACAAGGTTTTGAAGACAAACACGTCGTCCCTCCCCTCCGGTATCTACCCTGAGACACTTTTGCCGGAACCGGACACCCGTTGCACCTTCAAACCTGATCAGATCTGTGCTGAAAAGCTTAAAAGACTAATTTACCTGAAATATCTGAGATGTGGAGTTTATTTTAGAATGTCACGCCTCTGTCTGCCTGACAGACTAGAAGCAGGGCTAAGTCATTAAGTGTCAGAACATCCTTTTACACTGAGGAATGCTCACAAGTGTTCGCTTGTTACCTGTAACCTGAAGGAACTCAACCACTGCAGTTATCAATCAAAATGTTCAGGTAATAACTAATTATTACTAATGTTTCTCTATCAGCGTCATGTTTGTGTTACACTTTCTTTCTTTTATTCTGGTGGTAAATGGAGAGGTTATTTAAAAAATTATATTCTGTAACAACATATTTCCATTATAAAACCTTACGGTTGTGATATTTTTTGTTTATATACATATATACTTATACATATAGGGCTGCATGGTGGCGCAGTGGTTAGCACTGTTGCCTGGCAGCACGAAGGTTGCAGGTTCGAAACTCGGCTGCAGCCTTTCTGCGTGGAGTTGCGTGTTCTCCCCATGCATGCGTGGGTTTCCTCCGGGTACTCCGGTTTCCCCCACAGACAACAACATGCCCTATAGGTTATAAATTGTAAGTCGCTTTGGATAAAAGCATCTGCCAAATAAATAAACATATTATCTAGCTATAAAAAGTAATGCTGTGATATTTATAAAAATATTTTTAAGGTTTAGTAACTATATGTACTTTTAAAATTATGTGAGGATTTTGTGCCAGTTTTAGTTTTTATCATCGTTTTTATGGCCCTCCTTTTTCATCTTGTGTCACTATTTTGAGGAAAAAAAGAAATGAAACTTGAGAATAAAGTTACTGTTGGCTTGGGGATTCAGTATGATGAGAAAACAATAAATCCACTGTTGAATGCCACCAAACAGGAAAAGCGGGTGTTTTAGGGTTTCTTTATCAGAAACGGAAACATAAGTAATTGCATTTCATTAAACCAACCATGGATTTCAAACCTGCACAGGTAGTATTTAGTTTGACTTGATTTCGTTTCACAGGAGGACATTATTACCATTTACCACCCAAACCACAACCTTGTTGCCATGCTGCCCTCTGGGAAAAGGTTCAGATCCCTCAGCTGCAGGACCAACAGACTGAGGAATAGTTTCTTTCCCTGGGCTGTTAGAACCCTGAGTGGACAGAAAAATTAACTGCATTGATACTATTTTGTACTGCCTTTGTTTCTGTTGCATGGTGCATATTGTACTTGTTTTAGCTATTTTTCTTAGCATTTCTAGTGGACACCTAATGTGAAGCGCTAGGAAATTTCGTTGAATGGACAATCATTTAATGACAACAAAGGATATCTATCTATCTATCTATCTATCTATCTATCTATCTATCTATCTATCTATCTATCTATCTATCTATCTATCTATCTATCTATCTATCTATCTATCTATCTATCATCTATCTATCTATCTATCTATCTATCTATCTATCTATCTATCTATCTATCTATCTATCTATCTATCTATCTATCTATCTATCTATCCATCCATCCATCCATCCATCCATCCATCCATCCATCCATCCATCCATCCATCCATCCATCCATCATCTATCTATCTATCTATCTATCTATCTATCTATCTATCTATCTATCTATCTATCTATCTATCTATCTATCTATCTATCTATCTATCTATCTATCTATCTATCTATCTATCTATCTATCTATCTATCTATCTATCTATCTATCTATCTATCTATCTATCTATCTATCTATCTATCTATCTATCTATCTATCTATCTATCTATCTATCTATCTATCTATCTATCTATCATCTATTGTTGTGCTGTTCTGAGCAAATGCTCTAGTCATAAAAAATCTGACTAATCTGAAATTACCCTAACCTTCTCTTTATAATAAAAAATACCAATGAAATCATTTTTTTTACTAAAGTTTATAGATCCATTTGTGAACACATCAGTCTGAGCAGTCATTTTGTAAAACGATGTCTCTGCAGAAACTACAAGTTCACAACCTGAACGACCCATTACAACAATACCATCATACAATTGCCTTGATGCAATGCTATCATGCTGGTTTTCCACTGCTGATTGTGCACGCTCAAAATCCTCGCTCTGGTTTATTTTTCACTCCATCCGGTAGTGTCATATGCACCAGTCCTTCAATTCTTAACCTAATGAGACATCTATTTTTGTCACTGCAGGATTCTGAAACAGCCATCCATGACACTTTCTGTGGCACTAGGAGTTGTCTTTGTGATGGTGTTTTTCTACAATTTTCAAGATTTCTCAGATGTTGACCCCCCATTTCTTCAAGTCAATGTGAGGAACTATGTTATCCATGAGAAGCTACCCAACAGAAGTTTGTCCAGGTACAATTACTTCTGGCACCACTGTCAGCAGAACACATCTGCTGCCAACATCAGCGGTTTCAGTTCACTTCCTGGAAACATACAGGATGTCATTTATTACCAGCACTGTCGGCATTTCCCCGTGCTGATTGACATTCCTGACAAATGCGGTGGAGTCGACGGGTCTGTCCAAGTCTTTCTTCTGCTGGTCATCAAAAGCTCTGCTACAAACTACGACCGCAGAGAGGTGCTGCGCAAAACCTGGGCCGAGGAAAGACTTTATAGGGGTGTGTGGATTCGAAGACTCTTCATCTCAGGGACGATGGGTTCTGGTTTTGAGAAAGAGAGACTGAACCAACTCCTCCAAATGGAGCAACGCAAGTACAACGACATTCTCCAGTGGGACTTCAATGACTCATTTTACAACCTCACTTTAAAGCAGATGCTTTTTCTAGAGTGGATGGAGAGAAACTGTCCACACGCTCGCTTCCTGCTGAACGGTGATGACGATGTCTTCGCCCATACAGACAACATGGTTGTGTATCTCCAAAACCTGAAGGACAACAATGGAAGTGAGCATCTCTTTACTGGCCATCTGATCTCCTCTGTGGGACCCATTCGACAACCAAATAGTAAATATTATGTTCCAGTGCAGTTGTACGAGTCCCACTCATACCCCGCCTACTGTGGTGGTGGTGGGTTCCTTCTGTCTGGCTACACAGCTATGGTCATATACAACATGTCTCGCTCCATCCCTCTCCTTCCCATCGACGATGCTTACATGGGAATGTGCTTGGCCAAGGCAGGACTAAAGCCAGAGTCCCATGCTGGGGTGAGGACAGCAGGACTACACCTGCGTGGCAAAAAGGTGGATATTTACAATCCTTGCTATTACAGGGAAATGATTCTTGTTCACAGATTCCTCTCAGTTAACATGTATGTTATGTGGAACAGGCTACATGACCCAAAGCTCAACTGCTCCACCCAGGATCAAATATAACCTAGAGTCAATATGGCTAAGCAAATCAAGGCAGGGCAAATTTTGTTTATAGAGCACGTTATCACGCACAAAGGTCATTCAATGTGTGTTACAGTGTTAAAATGTTAAAACTAAAGAGAAAATATAAGAACAATAAAGTTCAACTCCTCAGCACTCACATGGGTAAAGCAACAGAGAACATGGCATTTTTGGGGGTATTTGTGATTCATTTACCCGACAGAGACTTTAAATTTGTGCAGGAACCACCCCCTGAGGGGTCTTGTTTTGCTTCAGCTTCCGGACTCTTCTACTGGATCTAGTTATTTATATACTTAATTGCTCTGAACAAACAGTGTAATTGTAAGAGCAATTGGGGTTTTATAAATTAATGTCATGGATGTTATACTAAAAAATGTTAATAAGGAAAGTTTCTTAAACGTATGAGCTTTCTGATGACCCTGTGCTCTTTGGAAAGCCTAATAAACAAATCCAAACTGGATTTAATTTTTGTTTGAAATCCTCAAATAAAAACGGGTTTTAGACAAGTTGTTGTTTTTTGTGTTCTGCTTAAACGGTTGATGCTTTTAGTCATTTATATGAATTTATACACGGGAGCTCTAAGTAAAACACAGCAAAACGCCATCCAAACATTACCATAACCTTTGTAAAACTAAATAAACTATAAACTAATCCCATAATTACAAGCTTAGTTACCGGTAGTCTGCATTTATTGTTTTCACTCTGAGAACAAAGACTGACTCATAGGTCATCCAGAGGAAGAAATAGCTTCACAGTCTGCATGTTTGGATTGTTGCGCTCTCATTGCACCCCCCAGAGGACAAGAGAGAAAACATTTTGCTACCAAGAAGGTGAAAGCACCTTGATTATGGTTTTGGTTTAGCGGAGGCATCGTGAGGTACAAAAAAACCGAAGACCTTATGTCTGCAGCAGAACAATCAGAACGTCTCACTGTGCAGACAGTTTTAATGGGGAAAATGTAAAAGGTCAGCAACAAGTTCTTCATGAAATGCTCTCAATAGCTAATCAGGAAGGGCTACGGACGTCTCAGTAGAAATCAGGAGTTGTGTATCACAAAGGTGTGTGTTAACCCAATTCAAAAGGAGGGAAACATTGGCGATGGTTTCCTGTCCATCAGTCTGGGAAGGGCTGATGATGCACTCCATCATTTTGAGAGAACAGTTGCCATTTTCACCCAAAAGAAGTTTTTTTTTTTTACCGTGTCCTGTCTGGCTGTGAAGCAAACAGAATTAATGTCTGAATGCTGGTAACAAGCCTTACAGATTTACTCTCAGTTGGAGCATCAAAGTGTCTGCTTTTAATGTCATGCCTGATACTTAAAACTTTATTGTTATTGTTTTTGAATGCTTTGTAATTCCGACCAGACACGGAGACAGAGGTGAAAGAGAAAGGAAAAGACAAAAGGTGGAGAGAGAGGGGGGAGGGGGGTTCCACAAAAATAAACAATAATGAACAAGAGTCTGCTTCTAGACCTGCAGAAAGAGACAAGAAAAAAAAGCAAAAGAACAAAAAAATGGGACACAACAACAATACAACAAGATCAAGCTATCACTGCGTCAACTTGATGAAGAAAGATATAATCAACATTGTTTAACTGAACAGTCACACGATAATAAATCACAGTGCATTAAGTGCCCACCATAGCCTTAAGACGTGTTGAAAGTGCCCAAGCCCATACTTATGAGAGCACCATGTGAGCACCTGTGTGTCTACACACGCTTGCTCATTTAAGGTTTCTCTATTGGAGCGTCCAATAGAGAGTGTGAGGGACCACAGATCCGCCCCCCAAAGATGCGTAGGAGACGGGGGGAGCTCCAAGTCCCAGAGATCCAGGCGCTGCCCCAGAACACAGGAATCCCTAGGAGACTGCAACCAGAAAGGCCCCCGCCCCCCTCGAGAGGCACAGAGGATCTCCCCGGGGGACCACAACCAGCAGCCGGCAGAGTCCGTGGAGATATCAGCCCCGCCCGCAGCCTCCCACCCCCTAGCCGGCCGAGCCCGGGACCCAGCGACCCGGGACCCAGGGGCGACCACCGCCGCCGGGGACCCAGCAGAGCCCAGGGACCCAGACCCCACCAGGCAGCCACCGGGATTGATCAGACAGACGCCAAAAATCTTAAACCCCCGACCCGGGAGCCACGAACACTCAGGCAGACCAAGGCACCACACCCCACACCAGGTGTGGCAGGGTGAGGGGAGACGAAGATCTATATCATCAAAAGAAGTCCCAGGAGAGGAGAGGAGTCAAAGGCCCCACCTGACATATACAGTCATACACAAACACAGTCACACACTCCCTCCCTCATGCTCACACATGCACATACAACCAAAGACTTACAAAAATGCACGCCGGACACCCACTCATGCTCCCCATACTCACCCTATTCACTCTGGTCCCGGTACTGCTGCACATGGGGTACAACCATCATCAGTTACCAGAGTTTGACCCTTTCTGCTGGGGTGCTGATGAGCAGGCTCCCCCGCCCAACGCTGAGCACAGCAACCCACCACCCCAGGCCCCAACCAGACGGCCAGATCTCCCTCCTAGCCTCCAGCCCCAGGAAGCCAAGCAACAACAGAGGTGTGCTAAGACCCCTAGTCTCCCTCCACCTGCTCCAATATAGTGTTGTGTGTTGATGAGGTGTATTCCATGGCTGTGGTGAGCGGGCAGTGCAGGCATTGTCTGGCCTATGCCAGCTGATGCCACCGCACCACCCCACTTGCACCCACAGCCCTCGGTGTCTAAGTGCAGTTTAAAATTGGAAGTGGGCACCGGCACTCGGGAGGAGGCTGAGAAATCCCGCTGCCAAGTGCCGTTGAATGTGCTCACTCCCAAGGCCCTAAGTGTGTGTTTGCTTGGAATGTCGTCGGTGGAAGTGTATAAGGTGCAAATAAAATTGGGGGGCAGGCTGCCACAGGAATGCGGAAATGGGGTCCATACCCGCACTCCCTGACTTGTCCCCCCACCCACCCCCCACCCCCCACCCCCACCAAGTCCTATGTGCATGTTTGTGTGATGATGTGAGGGAGCAGGAGGAGAGAAATATGCGGGGATGGGGAGGAATGGCTGGTTGGGCTTAGCCTCCAGGGAGCCAGCTCCCCCAATGGCCCCAATAGGCACCTCTGTTGTCAAACTGCCACCCAGGGCATAGAGACCCCAGCCCATCCTGCCAGGGCCCAAAGCAGCAGCATTACAGAGCCTCACGGAGTTCGAAGGCTCCAACCCAGCCCCACCCCAGCAGAATATCTATGCCCATCCCTGCATTTGCACAACTTCCAGAATATATAAGACATAGGACATCCAGGCAAGGTTGGGTCCTCCCCCTCCTGGACCTCCCCCTCCCCTGTGATGGGACAGCAGAGGAGCCAAGGTCTACCCGAGGCCCCTGAACCCGGGCCAGGCACTACTGCATGTTACTGCCTTCTTCCCGGCAGCATACATGTCAGGACCCGACCCCCAAGGCCCCGCCCGGATCCCCACTCGGGGCCAGCCACCCCAACACCCCGAGCCCCCAGGCCCCCACCCAGACCCGCCCAGGGGCAATGCAGCTGCCAGGCATTGACCCATGGCCGCCGCCAAGACCTCCAAGGGGCCCCACTCACAACCGCCAGTAGTCCACCCCCCGAGGCAACCCAAGCACCTCCAGAGGGGGGCAACGGCCCCCAGTACCAGACATCCCCAGTGAACCCACCCCCAGGGAACATCCGGATACTCCAAACTCAGACCCTCCACCCCCCCACCCACATCATCCCGCAGGACAACAAAAAAGTTTTTAACTCTCATCTAACATAATTAGCCCCATTTTTAAAGATAAATAAAATACTCAAAGTTCCAACTGCATGAAGCACAGTAATTTCCCAAACTTGTTCATTATAAAGGTGAAACAAAAAAAGGAACATACACAAATGTAGTAGCAGATTGTTCATCTCCAAACCTTAATTTATGGACTAACCCCACCTCAAGTGGCTCATCTTGATGTGGAGGAGCAGCAGGTCTACTCCGAGCCCCTCCCGGATGACCAAGCTTCTCACCCTATCTGTAAGGAAGAGCTTAGACACTCTGAGGAGAAAACTCATTTCAACCGCTTCTATCCACAATCTTGTTCTTTTGGTCACTACCCAGAGATCGTGACCATAGATGAGTGTAGAAACATAGATTGACTGGGTAAATCAAGAACTTTGCCTTCTGGCATAGCTCTCTCTTCACCAAGACAGACTGGTACAATGCCTGCATCACTGTAAACGCATGGACCTCTTCCCTGACCTGGCATTCTGCCCTTTTCCGATTCAAGACCATGGTCTTGGATTTAAAGAAGCTGTTTCTCATCCCAGCTGCTTCACACTATAGTTGCAAACCGGTCCAGTGAAAGGCGAAGATTGTGATCTGATGAGGCCAACAGGACCACATCAGCTGCAAAAAGCAGAGACCCGATCCTTAGGCCACCAAAATTGATCCCCTCAACAACACCTTGGCTGCTTCTAGAAATCCTGTCCATAAAAGTTATGAACAGAATTTAAAGTGCAAACTTGGCAGAGTCCAAATCTCATCAGAAACGAGACCCACTTACTGCCGGTAATGCAGACCAAGCTTTGGCACCGGTCATACAGGGACCTAACATCCCATACTGATACTCCATACTCCCGGGGTAGCCCCCATAGTGCCCCCCCACCCCCCCCCCCCCACCCCCACCCCCATGGGACAAATCCACAAAACAGATGTAGATTGGTTGGGCGAACTCCCACACACCCTCCAGGCCCCCTAAGGATGTAGAGCTGATCCAGAGCTCCGTGGCCAGGTAGTCAAGTAACTTTTTAGATTTGCCTCAGCGGATTATCACAGTGAAATGTAAAGTGGGATGCAAAAGTTTTGGCAGCGTCGGCTATCTTCATGGTTCTCCTGTTTAGATCCTTGGTTGTTACAATGAAAATGAAAGTCAACTATATCACATTAGGAGACTCACACAGTGATATTTGAGAAGTAAAGCATATGCTTTACTGAAAGTGTGCTATAATTGTTTAAACAAAATTACCCAGGTGCTGAAAAAGGAAGAACAAGTCAGAGCAAGTGGGAGGAGCTACAGCCCAGATGGGACGACCTTCTGGTTCCATATTTGCATCTTAGTGCATACACTGAAGAAAAGCAATCAGTGAACTTTATTCTGAGCAATAGAAACAGATGAACAGAGAAGGAGTAAAAACATTGTTACCCTGCATCATAATTTCATTACATCATTGGTGAGAAGTGTGACGGTGTGGACTTTAAAGAGTTAAGTACCCAAAGACCCCTGCAGAGACAAAAAGGTCATTCAAGCTTCTCACAATGAGCTTGCACATCACCTATAGTAGTGTGGATGTTGGAACGAGCTCTGGCCTGTGTAAAACATTAATAACACACTGAACTTCTGTGCTTTTCTGATAATAATAAATAGCTAATGACGCGAACCCGACACCTTGCACAACATGAAAAACAAAAATGTCACTTCACAGGAAATTCCATCCATAAATCAGACGCAGTCCAAATGAAGGGAATTCATCTCAGAAGTAAGAAACAACTGTCATTTGCATGTCTAGATAACTGGTTTACTGTAAACAATCTTCCAAAGTCCAAACTCTGCCTTCATTAGCATAAAAACTGAAGCTGCATTAAAATGTTTTATTTTGTAAAAGTTTATCAACGCTGATTTTGTCTGTGACTTAACGAGTTTGCTTCCTCCTTTTGTTTCCCGTGTTTTATTGTCTTTGTTAATGCTTTTATTCGACGCGTAAAGTTAAATGTTGTCATTTAAAGCTGTTTTGAGCTGCTGTCTGACTTGGTCATTAAACTGTTTTATTTTCCAGCAATAGGTCATTAAAAACTGTTAATAAAAACAAGCATTAAACCTGAACAGACTGCATTTGAAAGAGTTTTTAAGACAAAATGTGGAATTTGTGACTAACTCTGCAGACTTTAGAGAACATCAAGCTGAATAGTTTTCATGCATCAGCTACTGTGCCCCGCCGTCAGATTTAGGTGAAAAGCAAACTCTGCTTTGTTTGTAAGAAGAAAACTCAATAGTGACATTTCAGGTTTATAGGAATGCAGCATGTGAGGGAGAGCTAAACTGTTTATTTAGGGGTGAGAGGGAAATAAATCAGGGTTTGACTTTTACAGCTTTAGTTAATTATTTCTTTGTATATTTTCAACGTTAGATTCTGATTCTGGGAGACTCCAGACTCCTCTAAGAGGAGTTATTATGAGTTGAATTAATCTGAAATCCACTCACAGGTCTGTTCGCCCTCTTGGTCGGTTTTACTGTGTTACGCTAGAATTGCTGCTATTATTTAAGTAGAGCTTTAAAGGTTATTTATTAAACATCAGTT